CAAATCTACGTTTAAATTTATTTAATAAGCATTGGCCGGAAACAGAAACAAAAATTCAGGTATATATCCTAAGCTATAGGATCTCAACATTATAGCTGGCTAATACCATGATAGTCAATCCTGAATGAAGCAAATGAGGGCACTTTGTCAGAGGTCACATCTTTTGTAGAGAATGAAAGGTATGCATAATTTGGTATAATGAGTGAGATGGAGTCTGATAGACACTCAAAGGAGCATAGGCAAAGTCCCAGCAGGGTTTATTGTAACTGGGCCAAATATCGCATCTCAAGGCTTGCTTTTTGAACAGCTTTCAACAAGACTTTCCAACGAGTTTAATGGTCCTGTTGTCACTCTTAGATCCGGAGAGTCGTCAAATTTGAAGGTACTACTCAAAAAGCTTATAAGAGATGTTACTCATCAAAAGTCAAATGGCGAAGACGAGAATGACAATTTCCTTGAGCAAGATGTGAGTCAAATATTTCCAAACATTCACCTGGTATATTCTTGCTGATCCTCCAGGGTCGTAAACTTCTGAACTATGATTTGGAAATCATTCATGGTTATGTCAAAGCCCACGGGTGTGATAAAGTGATCGTATCATTTCAGGACAGTGAAGCATTTGACTCTGGTCTGCTTGGAGACGCAATATCCTTGTTTAGGTAAGTTAATATATCTGTTCCTTCTTCTGTCTACTTTTTAATACTTGAGCCCTCAGCTCCTGGCTAGATCGCATCCCATTTCTTCTGTTGTTTGGAATTGCTACATCCGTCGAGTTATTCCAAGAACGACTTTCTCGTGTCGCTGCTCGATCTTTACATGGAGCACAATTCGATGTAGAACAAACAAGCTCCATCCTTGAAAACATATTCTTGAAAGTTATCGCTGGATCAGATGCTCCAATAAGACTGGGACCAGGCATTCTATCGAGTCTTATGGAACGTCAAAATGATCATGTTCAGAGTGTACAAGCTTTTGTTGGAGCTTTAAAGGTATTTCTTCTCTTGAATTTTAGACAATTGTTCACTAACATGGTTAGTATGCGTACATGTGTCATTTCTATGCCAACCCTTTGAGCATATTTCTGGGCCTCACAGACGAACTTGAATTGGGGCCCCTTTTGCAAACCGAGCATTTTGAAGCTATTAGAATGCTTCCATCATTCCAGAAATATACTGAACGTCTTGTTGATCAAGGCGAATTGGAGCGTGCCATGGGGTTGATTAACGATGATGAGCTCCTTCTGCAAGAGGTAGAAAGTTCTATCCAAGGCAAAGATCATGCGGTGCAGAAGATTCTCCGAATCATGCATATTCTAGTTACTTTGGCAGTCGAAATACCAGAGAAGATCGATCTCTATATTAAAGCATCGACTGGTTCATTAAGGAACTCTGAAATTGTGCGTTCGATTGTGGATTCAATCAAACGCGCCAGTCTCGATGATTTTCTAGGGATCATTACCTCACTCAAAGAAACCGTAGAGGGTGGAAGCACTGAGCTGGATCTTGAATCATGGTCGGAAATAGAATCGGAATTCTATTCAGAAATTGCGAGTATCAGGGAAGACGCTTCATCACTCGCAGGCTCGGATACAGGAAAGTCTATCCGCAGCAGTTACAACAAAGCACTCCGCACTACAATCATTTCACAGAAGGTCCAAATTAGCCAGGATAGATCAGTACTCACAAAGCAAGACAAAGAGTTCACAGCGCTTGTTGACCACTTAATTCAAGCCATACAGAATTTCGTAGATGTGGACAAATTACAAGATCAATTCGTTTCCGAAATTTGGCTCTACGATCTCAGATTGCCCTATCTAGATGCCTTTACACCTAAACCCCGGTTTACAATCGAACGGGCCCTCTCCTCACCGCACGACTATCTTTCTTGTGCATGTTGCGACCCCACGAAAGAGGGAGCACTAATGTCTCATCCGCCTACTGCCATTTTGTACAAACTATTCTTAGAAGCAGGTAACTTGATTAATATTTTCGATCTCTGGACTGCTTTTATTGCTAACCTGGGACCGGAATATGACGAGGGTGATGATAGCGAAAGACAGGCTTTGATGTTATTTTATAGAGGACTTGCAGATTTGAAATTGTTGGGCATGATCAAGCAGAGTAGAAAAAAGACGGATCACTTGACGAAATTAGCATGGAAGGGTTTGTAAACTTGGGATCACTAGGTGGCAGGATATGAGAAATGATTAAGAATGCAGTTAGAATATAATTATATTAATCTTCGAATGCAAATGCCCAAGGCATCAAACAAAACGTATCTAGTCGTCCATCAGCACCCAAATCTAATACCACTGATTCTTATTCCTAAACATCTCCTCTTCGGCCCTTCGAACCCTCTCCTGTCTAACTCTCCTCTCAATTTCCTCGACACTCTCAACCGGACTTTCACACCCTCTCAACCCAATAAATCTTCCCAGCCTCCTCCTCTTGGTCTCCAAGTCCGCATTCACGTCCCAATACACCGGACACGGATAATGCATCGTCCACTGACACGGAGTGCGCTGATGATAAAAATGCGCGAGCTCGTCTAATTCCGTGGATGTGAGAAGCCAGAAATTCAGAAGTTTCTTGGGAAACGAGGGATGGATTTGTCCTGTTGTGAGACGCACCAGTGGGGCGAGGGGAAGAGCCATTTGGGATATTTTGGCGGCGAGCTCAGGATTGGTTTTGCTGAGACGGGTTATGGTTGACATGATTGCGTTGTGGTGTATCTTCTATCTTGTATGGGGTTTGAGGTTTGTGAGGTGATGAGATGAGATGAGATGAGATGAGTGATACGTTTAATATGTTTTGGTTTTGTTGCCGTACAGTGGCTAGTTACGACTGATTTGCGTGATGGTTTTGGTGGTGGTAAAGAGTGTGAAGCTGTGAATGTATATAAAGATATTTCCGCAATGAATCAGACGAGGGAAGAGTATATAATTCTATGATAACTATGTTCGCAAAGGGATGAAAAAGATTATTCGCAAAGCTGCCAGCAGCGTAAAGATATAAGTCTAGGATGAAAATCAAAGTATGGAAAAAACGAAATATAGGAAATAGTGCGGATGCCAGATACCGATAGAGATGAATAGATAAATAGGGGAATGGAAGGTTCTTGTAGTTTTTGTCTTGTTATGAGACTTCATTGTGTTGAAGAGTTTCTTTGTATTTGAGTCAACTTGGCTTTGTTACAGGATCATGTCTTTGATGTTGTTGTATTCTGAGATCTATTTTTGAGACTTGAGTGAAAGGACTCTTGAGACAGCCCTTGTGGAAGGTTCTGACAAGGCGTTTATGATGAACAGTCTCAAAGAATCTCTTTATGTAAAAGTCTAAAATAGCAACAACTAGAAAGACGCCTAGGTCCAAGTACGAATATGTCCACTACAGAGAATGCTCAAATGTTGCAGCGGGAACCACTTCATATAATCATGTGATATGAAGAAAATGAGAAAGCTTGGAAGTAAATCGTACAAAAATCGAAAGGCCCGCTGGCCCTCTGGGAGCTAAATTTTATATTGTGTTTAACCAGTGAGTTGGACTGGCTACTACAAATCTTGATACACCCCTCATAACCTATGCATGCAATATCTTACAGCCGCAAAAACGCCAGACACCAAAAACGCCTCAAGCGAGCAAGATTCATGCCATTGTACAGTGCCCAGCAGCTAATAAAAGACGCTTTATTTCTTTCCCTTCTTCTTCCTGCTGGGGCTTCCTTGTTCGCTAGCTGCTGGCCCACCTCCTTGAACTAGAATGGCATCCTCGTCGCTCATGACACTCTGGGCCTTGGTAGGCGAGGTAAGCTTGGATGCCTTGGCTTCTGCTTCTTGATCTAACTCTTTCATAAATTCTGACTGGATTGAGGCTCGACGTTTCTCCCACCACTCCTTCTCAGATTGGGTCCTGGCTTGAATGTCATCGAGGCTCTTCCTGAACTGATTATTCGTGTAGATTTCGTTGGCGGACTGGAAGATTGTCTGTCCCCAATTTGGTGCCAATCCATTTGCCTATTCATGGTTAACTATATTCAATTTCACCAAGCTACTAATGAGAGAAAGCTCGGCTTACCTCCATAACCACATCCCTAAGTTCCTCTTCCATTTCTTTCTCTGCTCTCAAGAATCTTTGCCATAGATCATCGCCAACGCTCCCCCTCTGTAATAAGGTACTGCATGCTTGCTTCGCTGTTCTAATGTGAATAATTCGGTAAATATCTTCGACAGCCCTTCTTAGTAAAGCCGCTCGAATAAGCTCCGCTGGTACTTTTGGCGTTTTCTCGTCCCCCTCTTCTGGCTCAAGATGAGCTAGAGAAAAGTAAATGTTCCTTTGCAGATGTGGTGGGAACCAAGGCGCAAGAGTCGCAGATTTAACTATGAATACCTGTTAACTTTGCGCATAATCTAAAAGCCAGATTTTAACTAACCTGCTATGCGCTTTCTATATAAGGACGAAAATGTTACTAGAGATCCGACGAGGACAACGACATATGCGAAAGGAAGTATTAGACCACGAAGAGTCGTTGCGTAATCAAAATCTTTGAACATGGTTGCTGCTGTCACTATGTCGAACACAAAACAACACTCTTGGAGCTTTCCCAGCGAGTTGGGATATATCGGATCGAAAAAGGGCCAATGTCTAGGAAGGGTGGATGAAGTTTTCCGACAAAGATGGTGCGATTGTTGGAGGTATCAAAATAGTAGATATCCTCTTATGTGTTGTGTGTCCTTTATTAATCTTTATTCGATCGCATTCTGCCACTTCAGGACAAATAACCTTAAAGTCACTTTTTTTGACTAAGAAGACAAGCACTTCGCTAACAAGTGAATGACCAATGAAATCAATTCAACCCGATCCAACTAATTTGAAGAATCACTTACATTCCATCCTTGTAATTCTTATGTAACACAATATTTATAATATTTATACCAAATTTTTATAATCCTTATAATTCTCGTATTACTTATAATTTGTGTTACAAAGGCGGTGAATTACCTACCTACCTAGTAGGTAAGTGGCATGGCAGTTCCTACCTAACTGTTTTCCGTAGGCTACCGAATTCTGACGTACAGTCGTCTCCCTAGTCTTGATGGTGGGATCAGTATTATTTACTTATTAGAGCTTACCTGGGAGAGCTTCAATTTACACAATTAACAATCCAAACAAACCAAACCCAACATCTCAAGATCAAGAATTAGGAAGAACCTCAAAGATTTTGTTTCTTAATACTTAACCTTTTGTTTTTTGTTCTTTAATACAATACTTCTACCTCGAATACATTCATCTATTTGAATAAACTTGAGAACCAAACCTGATAAGAGGTCAAGATGCTTTTAAGATTCCGTGGTCCTGATGGAACAGTTCGTATTACTGTTGAAGCAAATGAAACTTTTGCTCAACTTGGCGACAAGGTTGGTCTAAGATATGCTGTATGTATTGCAGTGAGCTTCTGCTAATATGCTATAGCTTGTAAAACTCCTACCGGAGAACATCGACCCAAAGACATTAACACTTTCAAATGCGCCGAGTGGTGGTGAGGTCAAGTCTCTGGTAGAAATTGCAAGAGCCAAAGTCTCGCAGATTGGTCTCAAGTAAGTCGGGTATATGTAAAGCCTCTAGAATGTTGTATTGACCAACTGAAGGAATGGTGATATGGTATTCATAAATTATAAGCTCTTGGATAGTCTTTCAAATGGCAATGCTACCCCTTCCACCTCGACTGGTCCTCCATCTCAACTCGCCCCCTCAACAAATCGTTTAAATGGACACGTCGTTTTACCAGAATCAATACCTATCGATGTTCCAGCGCAAGAAGTAACTTCGCCATCGGAAAAGATCAAGAACCCGTGGGAATTAGTCAAACAATCCGATCTCGATAATAGGCTAGACAAGAAAGATGGAAAAATCCCCAGAAAGAAGGATCAAAAGATGTGTCGACATGGTGAAAAAGGAATGTGCGACTACTGTATGCCGTTAGAACCATTCAATGCGGAATATCTGGCCGAGAAAAAGATCAAGAATCTCTCGTTTCACTCGTATCTGCGAAAGATCAACTCGGCGACCAACAAACCAGAGCTAGGAAGTTCTTTTATGCCACCATTGACGGAGCCGTATTACCGTGTGAAGAAGAACTGCCCGTCAGGACATCCTCAATGGCCCGAGGGCATTTGTACTAAGTGCCAACCGAGCGCAATCACTTTACAGCCGCAAGCATTCCGCATGGTGGATCATGTCGAATTCGCTCAAGCAAGCCTCATCGAAAACCTACTCCAGTTCTGGAGGGCGACAGGTGCACAACGTTTTGGGTATTTATATGGTCGCTACGAGGAGTATACAGAGGTGCCGCTGGGAGTCAAGGCTGTTGTGGAAGCTATTTACGAACCGCCACAAGTTGACGAACTCGATGGCGTCACATTAAACGAATGGGAATCCGAAAAGGACATTGACGAGATTGCGAGATTGTGTGGCATGGAGAGAGTCGGTGTCATCTGGACTGATCTCATTGACTCAGGCGTAGGAGATGGCACTGTCTTATGCAAGAGACATATTGATTCATACTATTTATCATCTCTGGAAATCGCATTTGCAGCACGTTTACAAGCGAAGCACCCAAAGCCAACGAAATGGAGTGATACGGGAAAATTCGGGTCCAACTTTGTTACCTGTGTAGTGACAGCCGATGAGACCGGAGGAATCGCCATATCTGCATATCAAGTCTCCAACTCAGCCGTGGAAATGGTTCGAGCAGATATTGTCGAACCATCCGCCGATCCTGCTGTGATGATCGTTCGCAGTGAAGGAGATGATGATTCCGATACGAGCGCACGATACATCCCTGAGGTCTTCTTCCGAAAGATTAACGAGTATGGTAGAAGCGTTCAAGAGAATGCTAAGCCATCTTTCCCTGTAGAATATTTACTCGTCACATTGACTCACGGCTTTCCTAGCGATCCTAAGCCAGCATTCATGGCTAAGAGTTCTTTCACTATTGAGAATCGTTTGGTTCTTGGCCAGGAACAAGACCTCAAGGACGTTGGAAAGCAATTAGGACTTGACAAGAGCGGGCAACTTACTCAATCTCCTGATGGCGTCCTCGCGGTGTCTGACTTCCATCTCCTATGCTTCATCTATAGTATGGGTATTTTGAGCAAAGTTCGTACCAACTTTTTCTTTTTTCACACTCACAAGCATGATACTAACATAATCATTCGTAGGAAGAGATGGCGCTTCTCTGTCGTGTAGCAACTCAACACGATTTAGCAGATGGATACCAATTGATAGCAACCCCTGGCTGGGCAAATTTCCTTGCAATTTTACAATCGACTGGTGAGCGACCCCCAAAACGTCAGTCGCCGTCCGATGACGATGGTCCTGCGGAGCGTCTTGCTAAAAGGGTTGGCGGAGTTAGGCTAGATTGAATAAGTAGTCTACCCCTGGACTATTTTGTTCTTTTGAGGCTTATACTCTGATTGTGATAATAGGTTTCTAATCGCCAAAGCGTCTCGACGACTATTCAAGTCTATAGGGCAGAGGAGAAAGAGAATTGATAGGGAGGTTTACAACATGAATTATTGGCGTGTACGAATGGGGGCCAAATTAAACAAAACGACAGGGCAATGAGGAACTTTAGGTGCTTGGTGGATAGAGCGGTGACTCTGGTGTTAACGAAGGTATGCATATATGGCGCAGGATATCCCGGATAGGGAGAAGGGAGAAGCAAAACATCAGACAGATATATTTGTTGTTGGGATATATGACATATTATAAATTAAATCAATTATCACAGACACGTTTTCTGTTGACGAGAATGCCATGAATGGTCTAATGTACTTCTTTGCCTTTTCTTCTGTCTCCCGTAACAACCTCGATTGTGTAGTATCTAAGATTGTATCAGATTTATTAGCTCATGTAATTCCCAAGTCCGAGAGAGTAAGGAATGAGATTTTCTAATGGGAACGTGTCGATACCTATCTAGCACTCACAAAGACTTTAAGACAACCCAGATATCTGACTGAGGCATATTTATGAACTCCGCCTTGTGACAAATGCTCAAGATTGTTTTAATTTCAAAGTACGTAGTAGTCAGACAGTTTCTCGCGAGTTTAAATTCAAATTCAAATTCAAGTTCAAGTTCAATCTAATTATCTAATACTATATTTCATTGATAAACGCTCTCTAAAGTACTCGAGAATTATGTATGAGCATCGACATGCATCATTAGTCATATAGCTAGCTTCTCATGAAGACATATTATTAAAGAGAGGTCCATTTAAAAGACGAGGGTTAAATTTGAAATGGAAGAGATTATACTGTGCCTATCAGTTAGGGATCTTTGCAGTTGTGGGGGTTTTGGATGGAGAAATGGGAGGGAGGAGCTGATGAATGGGGGGGTGATTTGGTTTGGAAATTGAAGATGGGAAGGTTTGGGTTGCTTGGATTGGATTGGATTGGATTGGATTGGATTGGATTGGATTGGATTGGATTGGATTGGATTGGATTGGATTGGATTGGATTGGATTGGATTGGATTGGATTGGATTGGATTGGATTGGATTGGATTGGAACGGAACGGAGTTGAGAAGGGGGAGTTAGTTGTAGTTGTAGTTATAATTGTAGTTATAGTTGGTGGGTATATGGGTTGATAAGAAAATGGTTGTGCAATGGATGATTGATTGGGTTTCCTCGGGGGATTTTCAAGGTGTAGGTATTGATGTACTAGGTGTGTGGGAGGAGGTGGAAGAATGGGTTTGCGGGGAGGCTTGGGCTGTTGTGTTGTTTTGATTGGAGATGAGACATTGGCGATGGGAGATTGGAGGGAGCTAGTGGTTTTTTTGTAGTTGCTTGTGTGTGTGGTGGTGTGGAATTTTGTTTGGGCCGAGGATTTGGATATGCTTTGAGAGTGATGATGTAGGTTTTGAGGAGAGAGGGTTGGAGGGTTGTTGTGGATGCCCAGGTGTGAGTTGTTGGTGGTGCTTCGAATTGAACCTCCCAGGCGGAGGCAGAAATCAGATACTGTTGTGGCTTACGCAGTAACTGCAGTCTAGTATTGAAGTAAACCAGATGGTGAGTTCTTTTCAGCTTCCAAAACGATTAGAACGGAGGAGTGTGTATATTTCAGAAGGGGCGATATACGTGCTCGTGAAAAGAGTCGAGCAAAGGGCAAGGACGACCGACCAACTAATGGAAAGAACGATTGGCAAATTTTGGAAGACTTCCTGATCATTCCGGAAAAAAGAATCTGTTCTTATTCAAACATATCATTGTAATTAACACCGTCATTATTTTGGCAGCCGCTCGTTTTGTCGCTCATTTGAGATTATCTTTAATCTTAGAACACCTCGACCAGATACCAATCTCCTTTCCATCAAGACAACTCCATGACAGCACTCCGACTCCAACCATATCTAGTTAATAACTCGCTCGTTCCAAAAAAAGAACTTTCGGCTCGATGCCCAATCTCGAAACAAGCCAATCAATCGGGTTGGAGACTCCCGCTATATCTCTTGGAGCTCCTTCTCGTAGTTCCAGTCCCGAGAGTGATACGTTGAGCCCGCCACTCTCATCTGGCTCTTTCAAGCGGTCACTCAAAAGTCGTATTGTGCCACCGACGTTAGTTGGCATTTCAGAGGAGGGGGTAGTGCAGAAGTTTGTTAAGATGACTCCGACTATGAATGTTTTGGGTAAAGGCAATGGTTTGGAACTTACCACTTTTACTCAATATGAAGCTGTTCCTCAATTGATCGATATTTCTATTCCTTCAAAGGATAATGAAATTGGTAAATTTTGATCCTAACCGGGTTCTTGTTCGAACTGACTTTTGAATATTTAGATACCACAGAAGCTAATGAACAACCTATACTCATGATACTCATGATGACGCGTTCCGCCAGTGTAGGATCACAATCTGCTCCCGGTAAGAGACCAAAAGTCAAGACATACAGACCCTCTAAACCTTTGGCACATCAAGAGGGGCGCAAGTTTAAGCAGACTGAGAACGAAAACGATGACATTTTTGAAGACGCACTTGTTGGATCAAAAACCTATATAGAAGCCTACTCTAATTTCAATACTGCGCCATCAACACCAACAAAGCGTTTATCAGCGACTGAGAAATTTGATATGGATGGATCACACGATACTAAGCCCGAATTTCCCACTGGTACAACTATCAAAGACTTTGGTGCGTTGCCCGACCATCTTAGAGGGCCTTGCCTTGAAGTCAGCCCTAGAACTAGCCTTTTGGATGGTCCATCTGGTGTTCCGAACGTGGATAAACTTTTGTCTATGAACAAGCGTGATAGCTCCCTAGAATCATCGCTCATGAGACCTCTCGAAGCAGTACCTGAAGGCTCGATAGTAACATCTTCATTGTCAGAGGTGCCGACAGAAGTAACGGAAGACATCATCGGACAATCGGATGGTCCTGCTCAAGTTCCATCTATTGCAGCTATTGAACCAAATGTTGGTGGCGATTCTCCAATTCCAGAGTTGCCCGTCGCCCCAATTGCAAAAGATAAGAAGGATGAAAAGCGCACACATAAAGTTATTAATAAGTTTCGATCGGGAGTACGCAAGGGTAGATATCGTTGCCTAAGAACACCTGTATTGGTGGTGATTCTAGGAAAGGAGCTTTCAAAGCCAACCAAAGTAGCCATTCAGAATATCGCAAACGGATTGCCGTCAGGAATTGGTGATGTAAATCCCCTTCCCGTGTGATAACGCGGGATGTCTTTTAATTCGAGAACTGAGGTTAATGAAAAACATAAGATGCAAACAACACTAGAGCCATCGGCCTCGCTTCATACACTGGAACAACTTTCACCTACTCCAGTACCAGAGGACCGGTGCTGTCCTGAGAGCCCTGCACCTTCGTCAGAGAGCCATTGCTGTAGCGAGGATTGGAATTGAGAGTTTGATAATGATTGAGAAGATGAAATGGCGTGTTAGAATGGATATTGTCATACACCCTAGTACAAGAAACCTGTGAACCTTGTTCAATGATCTCCAATGATGACCTGTGAGACGTCCTAGTGCTCTGTAATGTTTTCGATGAGCCATTATGAGATGAGCTCTCCTTGGTGAAATTTGACCGTGAAGTACACACGCAGTTCAATCACCTTTCAGCACAGAATGCTGAGTAACGAGGAGAGCAGCTGGGTTTTTCCAATTGGAATTGGGCATCACTTCAATGCGTCCGTTTGTAGATAGCCATTTGTTTGAATTGCCACGACTATGAAAATCGTACCTCGAATACTTCATACGCTCTAGCACATCGTACAAAGTAGAGGCTAACCAATGACAACGACGTGTAAGGTTTGTAGACAAACTCTTACAGCAGTCTTAAAGAGACCTTCAGTACTTCGAAGATAGTTCTTATGTTTATATTGTATGTTGTATATTGTATTTCGTAATGAGTTATATATACTTTTTTTATTCAAAAAACATGAGATATAACGAGTGAAAATTGATCAATACAATTGCCATCCGAGCCATCCAGACCAGACTCGCCAGACCAGACTCATAACCCACAACCCAACTCCAACGCGATCAACCCCACTATTTCCCCTCCCCCCAACCAATCCGTAGCTCAAGCTCAATCGACCCCACTCAACCCCTGCAAAAATCAATGACAACCTAATATATAATTAAAAACGTCGGCTTCGTCAAACAAACATGCCAAACTCCAGTGACGCGTAAGTTACTGCCTCCATTCCAAAAATGAAGGTACATCATGGCTAATATAGAAAATTATAGAGTGGTTAGCGTGTCGTTCTTATATTCTTCCCCTTGTGGATCAATATGAAGTTATGCGAAAGTCGTGGGTTCGACACCCACCTGGAGTATCAATCTCTGGTAGACACCAAACAACAATTATTTTTTGATTTCTTCGGCATTTCTTTTTGCAGATTTGGGGAGCAGGTGGTTGTTGAGTCGGTTGATGCTCTACTCTTTTGGGGGGTTGGATTCGTGGTGTAAGTGATAGGTCCACCCATTTTGGTTTTTGGTGGAATGTGATAATGGTACTTATCTATACGTCTGCTTTTGAGAAGGTATCAAACTTAAATTTAGGATATCTCTTCTCGGAGAGTAGTCGAATACTCTCTGAGAGAGCTTTACGCTTGGTGTTTACCTAGGTATCAAAGATACAAGCTTGCGGGACGTTCTCTTAGTTTTTGTATCGACGAGTTGCAACTGATTAGAATCGCATGATAGAGATATCTGCACTGCACAAAAATGATCAAGCAACTCTAATAGAAGTCTGTATTGATAAACAGAGATTGAAGCATGTGAAGCAAAACACCACCCCCGTATATATCTCTATATGAACGGCTGTGCGCAAATGTAATAAATCCATGAATAGTGGCCTGAGATCACGTAAACCATGCTGGGTATTTGGCATTCTCAAAACGCAACAAATCTTGCTTGACTCGATTATTCGACGCTTGTCTCCCAAAGATCCATGTCTTCAACCTGTTGTTCTTCTCTCTTTCACCAACCAGACGCTCGCCCTGTCTCTCCCCGACACTGAACCCATCCTCCTCCAGAACACTCATTCCCTTGACTCCATAATTTAAACTCTCAATGACATGCCGTCTCTTTCGCAGCCGAAGTATTCTTTCCAAATATCAAGAAACCCACAAACGCACCAAATCCTACTGCAATCATAACCCATCCATTATATGTCATGAAAAGCAACCTAGAACTTCATTAGCAACCCTCCACACATAAGATAGGGTCAAGACTTACATCAACATAAATGCGTAAAAATACTGGAAAGCATATAGCGCAGCTTTAATAACATGTGCTCTCTGACCTACTTCTTCTTGATTGCGTCCTGCCCAGAGAAAAGGCGTATTTTCAGTAACGTCATCCACTTAATTCACACACATAGTCTCAGCTTTTCATTCCACTGTTCCGGCATGAAAGTCGAGGGAGGAAAAGCGCGCATGGGGGAGAGGAGAAAAGTAAGAGAACTTACGGGTTATAGAGCCCTGTTGTCTGTCGACCCAGGACTCATAGCGACGGGTCAGCGAGCGAATGCCTTCGTATCCGGCGGTGATGGCAACGACGCCAACGAGCGAAATGAGGAGGGAGAAGGTGGACCGGATGTGCCACCAGCGGAATATTATACAGAGGTTATTGGTGTCCCAGGTGAAGAGCATCTGCAATTGAGGTTAGCGATGGAGAGATTGAGAGAGTCGAGGAGATTGAAAACGGACGTTCATGTTACATCTATCTCCTCCCATATCCATTCCCATATCGTGCATGCTGTGATCCATATGCGAATGATCCATTGTGAATGTGAATGTTACAATAATTTGTATCTGATTGAATTGATCGTTCTCAACGAAGTAGATGGATGGTAATTCGAGGCTGCGAAGATCCGTAAGATTTCGATGAAAGAAGATGATGAATCTGAAATGGATAGTAAAGTGATTCTATATATATCGCTATCTACCTAGGTACTCGTACACTGCAGTTGGAAGACGGGCGTAACTCTCTAGGGGTTAATTGCACCAATTACAGAGTGTTATGAATCGATGGTGCAATGGTCCCCTAATTTACCTTCTCAAATGCGCTCAAACCAAGCTAAGAAAGCGCCAACAGCTCTGTCTGACAAGCTTCATGTGAACACCAAAAGCGGTACGTTGAATCATTCAAACAGAATCATACATTGATGAAAACATTTATTATATTGCCATCTCCCAACTATACCAAATGAAAGCTAACAAATGTAATCATCTCTCCTTTTTGATCTAAAATAATGATTGTTTGATTTGATATTGAATAACGAAAAGAGTGTACGAGTCCTCCGTAGATTCCCACACAACCTTGGAAGCTCGAGACAAGCTGCACTGCACGGCACTGTTCTTTATCAGATAATGCACGGACATCGGTGTTACAGAAGATAAGCTATTTCACACTGCCGCAACCGGTTTCATCGGATGTGAGGGGCAAGACTCATCAATTACTACGATACTCGTAGGTAATCAATGAATTTCTAAACTGAGCTTGGCAACACTCTCCTCTACAACCTCTATCATTTCGTCCAAGATGCTCACCAGTCCTTTAAACCTGCCCAAGTGGTAAGCAACTTTCAAGATCATGAAAGGAATCTGTTTTAACAGCGACTCGATAGGCTCGAAGAGAACTCTCATCTCTTGAAGCCTCCCATTAACAATTACTGCGTGTACAATAAAGATGTGACGGTCATGGTAGGATCACCACCACCCATCACTGTCTCAGACATTTCTAAACTCCGCAGATCGTAGGAGGCCCCAATGCACGAACCGACTATCACATAAACGAGACCGCAGAATGGTTCTACCAATACAAGGGAGCTATGATGTTGAAAGTGGTAGATGAAGGCGAATTTAGGGATATTATCATTGGGGAAGGAGAAATGTTTCTATTGCCACCAAATACGCCGCATAATCCTGTTCGATTCGCAAATACAGTGGGCATTGTACTAGAGCAACCAAGACCAGAGGGTTCGTTAGATAGGTTGAGGTGGTATTGCACAAACTGCCGCGCGGTCGTGGAGGAAGCAGCTTTCCATTGTACAGACTTGGGCACGCAAATCAAGGAAGCTGTGAATAGCTTCAAGGAAAGTGAGGACAGGAGGAAATGTAAGAAATGCGGGACAGTTGCGGAATCAGCGCCCCCGGTAGGATCTATCAAGGACCCAAATATCGCTTGATTGATGAGAAAAGGAATAATGAAATAACGAAGTCTTTCGCATGAAGTCTAAACTCTTATACATATTGTTAGGTATCCTAGTGTAAACAACCTTCGTAAATTGCTCAAGTCTCCTTGAACTGGTATGTACTCGTCGACTCTTCAACTGCAACTTCAATCTTTCCTTCCTCCAACTCCTTACCCCCAACACTAATGCCGACTCGCATAACATCTCCGGGCTTCACAGATCCAACTCCCTTTGGTGTACCAGTCAAGACAATATCTCCCTTCTCCAAAGTCATCACCTTTGAGATATCGCTCAAAATTCTAGGGATTCGGTATAACATCAATTCTGTAGAATCCTTTTGTCTGTGTTCGTTGTTGACTGTAAGCCACACGGTAGCATTATGAGGATCCGGAATTTGTGATTTGGAAATGATGTTGCTCATTGGGAGGAAGGTATCAAATCCCTTCGCGATATCCCATGGGAGACCCTTCTTCTTTGCTTCGTTTTGGGCATTGCGAGCTGTCATATCAATGCTCATTGCGTAGCCTGCGCGATTCAATGATTAGAAATCAAATTGAGTCATCCATTCTAGAATACGCACTTTCGATAGAATCATAAGCTTCTTTCTCATTCTCCGGCTCGAGATTTTTGACCTGTTTCCCCATGATCAAAGCCAATTCCACTTCATAGTGCAAATCTACACCCTTTGGTCGAATGACGGATCCGCCATTTGGAGGGAGAATTGAGGAAGGTGGCTTGAGGAAGAAGAATGGCTGTTTGGGCTTGCTATTGTTCAATTCCGTGATATGATCTCTGTTCTTCAATCAGTTCATCTATACTGTATGCTTTGAATATGCTCAATTGAGGGATTTCCAGAAGCCATTCATGGTCGAGGAGGAAGAGGAGTGGGGGTAAACATACGCGTAGTTTCTCCCGATACATACAACTTTTGAAGCGCTCTTGAAAGGAGATATGGTGGCAATGCCGCGGCGGAAGATTAAAGACATACTGAATGAAGTATACCAAAATACAAATATCCAAACTTTTTTTATGTGCAATCAAAAGGTGTGGTTACTTGAAGCTCAAATATGTAAGCAATTCATGTGGAGATCTTATGGTCACCTGCACCCTTCAGTGGAGACCCCGCTCGGCCACTGACGGGACAAGCTTCCGGCAGCTCTGATCGGTTCCGAATAATCCTCAGAAGATTATAAAGACGTATCTTTGTACGCGGTATTGCAGATATACTCCGTACAGGATGAGATAGGTTCCTGAATGTGCAAATGGAACTTGGACAATACTTGAAATGCCAAATTTTCAGATTCTCGAGAACTTTCAATCCAGTATTGATTCGAATTGCATTTGAGCATCTAACTCTTGAACGAAAAATAACTATTCGCATCTGGCACTCCAAGCTTTTCAAGAGAACCTCTTTTTCTCACCTGCTGTCTCTTTTCCGCGTGTTCATGCAACGCTTTATCGACCCTTTCCTGTGACATTTTCATTCCCCTTTGACCCTTTTCTTGGAGCTTGTGTCGATTGTTATAATATGCTAGTAATGTCTTTGCGCGCATAAATTCTTCGTCTCTCTGTGGTATAATATATTAGCTATCGTTTCAATGCGACCGAGTAAAATCTATAACATACGCCACTACTTCTCCTTCTGTCAAGACGACGTTCTCGAGTCTCTCGGATGGACTCCTCGGTTTCTGGGAGATCAATTGAATCCATAGACGAGTGCTTTCTGAGCGGAGGAGACGGTGACTGGACAACAGAAGATGGTGTGGGTATACGTCGACCGAGGCGATCAAATTTCGGCGCTGGTTGTGAATGAATTGACGTTTTTCTTTCGTCTATAGTGGCCGATACGGTGGAGAGGCTGCGTAAAAAGGAGAGGGTAGCTCTCGGTGGCTGCGCATAAGACTGGTTAGCACGCATACTCAGAGAAACATCGATATTGCGTGTGGGGATGCGCGTGGAGATGTGGGGAGCCATAGAATATAATGCAAGACTTTGGCATGCGGGATGTGATGGATTGATGGTGTTGACAAACTGCTTGCTTGAGGATATTAAGATCAGCGAGAACATGTGCGATCTGTAGCTTTGGCGGTGATGGATTCAATGAGGGATCCATTCTGAAGAGACTGTGAATTTGATACTGCGGATGTAATAGATTGTTTATTATTATGATTAATGATTAATATGTAAGGTCATGGTGAGGAGATGTTTACGAAAAAGGTGTAAACATTTAGCTTATGGGGTACCTTATCGGTTATCTCGGTCACTGCCGCACATGTGCCGGCACATACTGTAGTAGATTTAGAGCACTCCTCGATAAGCGAGCATCAACATTACACTCTCCTTCTACTCAACTGAACCCTCTAGAGCAAGGTCGATTTTATTACATTGAAAAAGGCAGGACTCTACTTGTAGAACTATCCCCTAGACTGCCAACTAGCGGCGCCGTCGCTTAATATACACTTACTAACCAATTAGAACATCAGGATTTTGAGAATTCTTATCATTTTGATACGTTTTTCTATAATAATAATTCAACATTTACAATTTTAATAAAAACAAATAATACACTTTAAAAATCTTTATATAATCTTTTATTTACTCTTTCTTTTTTTAATAAATATTAAATTTTTGATTTGATATATATTTTTAAATATAAATCATATAGAAATTGCCTACAAATATCTTTTATTCCCAAAGATAAAATATAATAATATTTATAAAATCTTAGAATTATTATTTTATAATTAAAAAAAACCTTGGAGATATAATTAATATATTTATTATCATTTTTTCAATAAATTCTAAATTTCAAATATAATATTAAAACTTTTATATATAATACCATTTATAAGGTTATTGATGTTCTTGTTCAGTATATAAACTATACACGGCGCCGCTATAGAAAAACTTGGCTATACCGGACTGGGATATACCGGAATCTTGAATATACCGGACTTTTTTAGCAAATTTTCTGAAATTTGTATATGAATACCGGAATTTCGACCAAAACCGGTATACCGGACACTTTTTTCACGAATCCGGTATAAATTTGGGTAGTAGACCTGGCTGAATAAGCTGTATTTTGGATGAGTAAGCTTGATTGGCTGTCATCACATGACATTTTTTCGAAAATATCGGGATTTGGAGCTGAATTCGGATATAAATTTTGGTTAGAAAGCTTGGGCCACCATTTTTTATACCGGAATCTTCTTTATACCGGATTTGATTGGTCGAAAATCTCAGTCCGGTATAGCCAAGTTTATCTGTAGTTGGCAGTCTCGATAGTCTAGGGGATAGATTCATTTCATCAACCGGCTAGTTTCCTACCTTGTCTGCATGATCGCGCGATTAAGAGGTTTGTTGCATTCGGGCCTTGAAAGGAATCTTCAATTCTCATTACTATCATAGGAATGAGATGAGGTATAGGGAACGTTAGTTATTTTCGCCAATGACTGCATATGTCGGCTGATATCCCAGAGATGGGTGGGCTGTGCTAACCGATCAAGCGCTCTCTAATAATAAATCGCAACATGAAATTGTCTCCTTTCCTTCTCTTGATTGAAATGTTTTAATGAGATTAGCCCTTGGTTTCACAGTCCTGACACTAAACAAACAAAATTGTAGTCTACCAGACGTTGAAAACTGCAAAATAGCTGCGACATCATCGCTAAGAGTTAATAGTAGAGCCTCTTTTGGCACACGCTCCCCGGCTAACAACCCTGATTCAGACACATTATGCGCAGCCATTCCTCTCACGGTACATGCATTAAACCATGTAGAACCTCTGGAGATGGAATGTATGGAGGTAATAGCTTAACGTTTGTGAGCTCTGACTTCGAATGCTGACCGAACACAGGGGGCCTGTGGCCACAGCTAGTCACTGCCATATAGCCCGGTAGATCTTATACCAGAAATGCTCCATATCGATGGATGCTATTCTGACCACTTAGGACGGCTCCAATCAATGTTGATACATCTTAAAGATTCATATTGCCGCTGAACTACATGTCTTATCAAACTATCTGTTTGTTAAATCATAGGTCTGTTGATTAATTGACAGACAACTTTCGAGTCCGCGTGAAATCATTTAACTACAAATACAAACAATCGAAATCTGTGTAATTTTCCGTGTGGGGGGTAGATACAATGTAATCAAGCGTATTTGTATTATAAGGGTTGACAGTTATAAGAAACGAATTGGAAAAGAAATAGACATTGAATGATAACGATAAGATCAAAGTCATCTCACAATCGTCTGTTCTTAACAAATCGGTAATTTGGAGTATCACCAGAAACATTTCATCTAAATGTTATAGGATAACCAATCATGTGAGAGTCTTCTCCGAGAGTTAATGTTATAACGGACTCCCCTTTTGAAGGTATTAAGTAAGCGAAACTCAGCCGATGACTAGTGGCTTTCTTAGATCAACATGGGTAGCATTCGATATCTACATTTCCCGAAATGGTTGCGAGATTATAGCTAATGAGGAAGAAATGTGTGATGCTCATTGAAGATCCATGTATCAAAATATTCACATAGACCCCACGTCTTCCTGCCACGCACATATGAATGATGCACGAAGAAGAATTTTATCATCCGCCGGCATCGCTCTGATGATGCCATGATGGTATGAACGCCTCGTTCAAACGCCTCGTTCAAACATGTGGTAAAGGCATTTGGTAGGTTGCCTGACTAATAGCCCGAGTTTATGAATTAGATGAACTACTAGGCAGATGAACTAGATGAATTAGATGAATTAGACGAAATAGTTCCCGTCCCCCAACCGGCACTGATTTTCCTTTGGCATATCATGACGCCAATGAACCAATTGGTAAATTCTAATATTAATTGAGTGACTGATAAATTGTGATTGGTTCAATTCCAATCTTCTTCACACCCAATCTGAAATAAATCCAAGATATCCTTTGTTGGTTGGTTGGGATTGTCCATGCAGATCAAAAAGCGGGGCTAAGAAAATTTTGGTTCCAACCAG